CATTTTCTGGGTCGTCGACTCGTCCTGGTCACCCACAAACCTCGCCCGACTCACCCCTGTTCCTAAAAAGGAACAAGAAGCAAAATGATGTCCAAGGAGCGCATTTCCTAGGACTTCCTACTGACTTTGTGCCCATTTTGAAAGACATCGGTTTTTCGTCACGTGCCATCTGACCAGGTCATTCTTGTTTCCACCCTCTATTCCTAAAAAGAAACAAGAAGTAAAATGATGTCCAAGGAGCACATTTCCTAGGACTTCCTACTGACTTTATGCCCATTTTGAAAGACGTCGGTTTTTTCGTCGCGTGCCATCTGACCAGGTCATTCTTGTTTCCACCCTCTGTTTCATCGTGAACTTCTTTTCGAAAAGACTTTAGGGCCCCCATCGTCAAGTTAATTTTTTTTTTCTCCTGACTCGGGGGAAACTGCTTCTGATTCATCGGCCCGTGTTATGTCACCTTGAAAAAAATGTATTTTTTTCCATTTTTTTTTCTCTCAAGGACTCAGAACTTTCTAGGACCAATTTGCAAATTGATGTGCCAAATATGTACCGCTCAACAGAAAGTAACTTTTTGTGAAACTGCAGTTATCTCTTTAAATCTACAGCATCTATTATCATTTGATTTCTATAGGCTACTGAGCAATGCCAGACCTTCTGGGAATGATGGGAGCATTTGCGTAGTTATTATAATTTCACTGCCATAAAAATAAATACAGACCTCGCTTCTGAGAGCTTATTAAAATAAACCCTGTTCACCCCTTCGGCAGAAAAAAATAAGGTCAATTTTTCAGGGCCTCTCACATTTTATGATCTACAATGTATGCGAGAATATTCTTTGCAATGGGAGTTGGTGACACTCCACAGCCCTGTTTCCCAGTAAAATGTCTAAAATGCAGCAAAATTTCTAAAAGATCGCTGTTTTTCCCAAATTAGTTTCCCTGTCTACAATAAAAAAAAATTTTTTAATTTAAAAGTAGTAACTATAAGGCAGGAGGCAGGTAAAAATCAGAATGTAACTACATTTTGCCTTGAGCTTCATAAGACTGCATCGACAAGAGAAACCAGTCTTGCCTCTATAAAGAAAGGTGGATAGAGAGAATATAATTATAACAATAATTGTAGATTTAATTGTAAGCACTTTCCCATATGCTTGCACTTTTGTTTTATTCTGATTCTTCTTTTGCAGACCCAAAAATGTACAAAACAGATAATATTCTGTGTCATAAAACATGGGTAAGAAATAATGGCTATCGTAGGGTGATTAAGATAGTTCACTGATACAATATTTGAGTATGAAACAAAGAATGACATCATGAGATGATTATAATCACTGCATCGACAAGAGAAACCAATCTTGCCTCTATAAAGAAAGGTGGATAGAGAGAAGAATATAATTATGACGATAATCGTAGATTTAATTGTAAGCACTTTCCCATATGCTTGCACTTTTGTTTTATTCTGATTCTTCTTTTGCAGACACAAACATGTACAAAACAGATAATATTCTGTGTCATAAAACATGGGTAAGAAATAATGGCTATCGTAGGGTGATTAAGATAGTTCACTGATACAATATTTGAGTATGAAACAAAGAATGACATCATGAGATGATTATAATTCTCATACTATCATCTCTCTTTACATAATTTTATTTCATTAAAAATTAAAACTCGATGTGCCTTAGAAATATGGTTTATAATGTCTATACTCACAAGGGTAGTGAAATGAAAATTAACCACTGCACCTCAAAAACTGGCTCAAGACACTGAATTCTTTTCATTTAGAAAAACAATAGTCAGTATAGGATGCAACAAAATTATTTTTTTTTTCTGTGTATGGGATCAACTTGGAGTTAAAAATGACAAAACCAAGTCCAAACAAGCAAAAGAAAAACAAAACACTTTTAAAAAACACATATCCACAACTGTTTAAATATTTTTGAAAGTATTAAGACTGAATAACTTATTTTCAAATACTTTAGATCTTCTTTATGAAAGAACTTAGCAAAAACCCATTCTCCAAGGCCCTTGGCCAGATTCCCATATAAAGTTTGGGCTTCTTTTATTTTTATTTTTATTGGTATCAGAGAGGAAGGGAGAGGGAGAGAGAGAAAACATCCATGATGAGAGAAAATCGTGGATCACCTGCCCCCTGCAAGCCCCACACTGGGATCGAGCCCGCAACCCAGGCCTGTGCCCTGACCGGGAATCGAACCACGACCTCCTGGTTCATAGGTCGACACTTAACCAGTGGACCACACCAACCGGGCAAGTCTGGGCTTCTTTAGTCATAAAGTCAAAGTCATGAGACGCAGCAGTATCTAAGGCAGCGGTTCTCAACCTGTGGGTCGCGACCCCTTTGGCGGTCGCACGACCCTTTCACAGGGGTCGCCTAAGACCATCCTGCATATCAGATATTTCCATGACGATTCATCACAGTAGCAACATGACAGTGATGAAGTAGCAACGAAAATAATTTTATGGTTGGGTCACCACATGAGGAACTGTATTTGAAGGGCCAGAAGGTTGAGAACCACTGAATTCTAAGGCCTCTTTCAGCTCCAACCCCCCTCGCAAAGGGCTCCAAGAACTGCTGTGAACTGGGATCCGGGCGATGAAGTTCGTCACCACTACATAGCTGCCTGCTTTAGTATTTTACTAAGAATGTGAGGGCTGACCTCACACGTATGGAGCACAAAGCAACCGTTCAGCCCGACGGAGCAATCCCATCACCAGTGGAGAGGTCACAGAGAGGGTCAGCAGAATGAAAAGGGTGTCCCTGAGAAAGGACACGGTGGCCCTGAGGGGAAACCCAAGTTCGGGGTCTTCGGATCCCCTAGAATTCTCGGGGTTTTCAAGATGGAACACACACACACGCACCCCACAGAGACCTGGACAGGAGGTCAGTGGACAAGAGAGAACTGAGAAGACAAAGAGAAGAACCGCCGGCCGGTGTGGCTCAGGGGTTGAGCATCGACCTAGGAACCAGGAGGTCAGGGTTCGATTCCTGGTCAGGGCACATGCCCGGGGTGCAGGCTCCATCCCCAGTGGGGGGCGTGCAGGAGGCAGCCGATCCATGATTCTCTCTCATCATTGCCATTTCTATCTCTCTCTCCCTCTCCCTTCCTCTCTGAAATCAATGAAAACATATTTTAAAAAAGAGAGAACATCATTTCCAAATGGCAAAATGAGTCAGGAAGGCTCTCAGATGACCGCCCATGACTTGGGGACAAACCCAATTTAACTTTCTATGTCCAACCATGTTCTCACTGTAAGGACCTTTTTTCACAGACGTGAAATATTGACAAATCTGTTATTTCTCCAAAGGGCTAAACCCAAGTTAAGAGCGCACACCCTCTTGTTTTGTGAAAGAACAGCCACGGATTGTTCTAGACTGGTTAACAGTCTGCACGCCCAGGTGCCTGCATTTTCAGTGCAATTTCCTGGTCTTAGATGCTGGTCTCAGAGCCACGTGCCTATAATGGTTTCTTTTGTTGTTAAAACTCACGGAGGACATTTTTCCATTGGTTTTTAGAGAGAGTAGAAGAGAGAGGGAGAGACAGAGAGAGAAACATCCATGTGAGAGAGACCCATCAATTGGTTGACTCCAGCACATGCCCTGACTGGAGCCAGGGATAGAGCCCGCAACCCAGGTCCGTGCCATAGACCGGAATCGAACCCGGGACCCTTCAGTCTACGGACCGATGCTCTGTCCACTGAGCCAAAGCGGCTAGCGCTATAATCATTTCTGAAGGAACTGCTTCAAACAGGGACGTGTGTCAGCGTTCATGTCTGTCGATGATGAGAACTATGAAAATCACATCTGTGAATGTCACTTACGGTTACATGGGCAGTATTACACTTTTATCATTTTAACAGCGACGAGGACTGTTTTAGCCCATTTCTGGGCAGATAACAAAAAGGAACCTGCTCCTCATTTTCCGTAAAAAGGGCTCATTTCTATCAAAGTGTAAATTTCTATTTTTAACCACATATTATACCACTCATTTCAGAATGATCAATCTATACTGTAAATTTTAAAAGGTTGTTCTATTTACACACATCACGTTGTCAAATTAATTCATCAGTTTGTTCACACACAACACGTAAGGAATTACTGAAGACCATGATTTGAAATACAAACGGAGGAAATGCATTCTGAAGTATCTCGTTTCCTTTTAAGAAAACAAAGCTATAAAAGAGAATTCCTTAACAGTAAGAAAATACTTTTCTTCCCACTGATGTAGAGAGAGAAAGGAAAGGAGAGGGAGAGAGAGAGAAACATTCATCGGCAACCCTTAGGTCCACAGGACGATGCTCAACCAATTGAGCCACACGGGCCAGGACGAGAAAATACTGGCAATTCCATTCACAGACGTAAGTGATTCGGCTATTACTGTGACCCATGTGAGAGGGAAACATCCATGCTCTGCCTCCTGCACACCCTCCACGGGATGGAGCCCACCACCCGGACATGTGCCCTGACCGGGAATTCCACCGGCAACCCTCAGATGCTCAACCAACTGAGCCACACGGGCCAGGACAAGAAAATACTGACAATCCCATTCACAGACGTAAGTGATTCGGCTATTACTGTGACAGGAGCGAACCGATCCCTTGTTGATAGCAGCCACTACTCACTTCTACGTAGACAGACATAGTAGGAGGGTGTTCAACAGAGTATGGTGTCATTTTTCTGATGGGGAAATTTGTAAGTGGTTCGAAATATCGTTCCCAAACCTAGATTTTTAGAGAGTGTAAAACTGTGGTAACATGGAATATTCCGGTCCTATTTGCCTCACTCTCAGGGCTTCTTCCTCACCCACCTCCGGGTAACTTTACAAGACGTTCCCCATCCATCCTGCCCTCATGGCCTTTGCTCTGAGTTCATCCGAGAAATCCTGAGAGCAACGCACGGGTCCTAGCGGCGGCCAAGACCGAGATCAGAATCACAGTCCTCGGATTTTAAATGTTTTTTTAAAAAAAGGGCAGGATTCCTACCTGGTCTCCGAAGTCCTCCGGGAATTTCCACAAAACCACGGGATCTGTAAGGAATTAGCACATGGCATTAAACAGAGGCAAACACACACACACACACACACACACACACACACACACACAACACAGCCACGGTTATCAAAATCCTCTGAACAGGTCAAAGCGCCTTTTTAAAAATGCCCAGCCCAGCCCTGAATGGCAGCGCTGTGGTATTTCCCCCCGACCGTCCGACCGTCCGACCGTCCGACCGCAGGAAAGCACTGGCAAGTCCTGTCAGGGTTGGAGGTTGCTGTCAGTCACGGGTGACGGGAAGAGAATTTAAACAGAAATGTGGTTCCCGGTACAATGTGCTGATCTAAAGCTCATACAAAGGGAGTGAGGTTATTTTTTTCTTCCAACCCATGACTGCTCAATGCTACACCGAACCATTTGAGCACCGCATGTTGAGTAGACAACCCACCGCCTACATCTGAAGACGGTGGGACTGAGAAATAAGGCCAGATACATAAATGGAGGATTTGGAATGATGGCATGAGGCAGCTCAAGTTCTCCTCCTACATTCACGAGTAACCAAATACGTAACTTTTCGTTTTTGTAAATAATGGCCTAAACCCATATAGACTTGCTCTGAACAATACTTAGACATTTGTATGTGAAGAAACCTGGGAAAAGATATTAATTGCTCATAGATTCAAATCAACAACGTTCTCATTCTAGATCTAAAATCATTCTTATTTGCCCGGCCGGCGTGGCTCAGGGGTTGAGCGTCCACCTAGGTACCAGGTGGTCACGGTTCGATTCCAGGTCAGGGCACAGGCCCGGGTTGTGGGCTCGATCCCCAGTGTGGGGTGTGCAGGAGGCAGCCGATCCATGAACCTCTCTCATCATTGAGGTTTCTCTCTCTCTCTCCCTCTCTCTTCCTCTCCGAAATCAATAAGAATATATTAAAAATAAATAAAATAATTCTCCTTTGAGTTTGACTTACAGCTACAAAACCCTTAAGGAAGTGAAATTAGTATTTTAAGATGTGTTACTTTAGATCCAGCTGCAAAATGGCAGAGGCGAGAGCCTACCGACTACTTTACATAAATGCACACATTCAGAACAGAACAGCAGGCAATTTGGGAAACTTTGTCCGTTAGTTTCACCTCTTGAAACGTATACAAGCAAGGGGTGCAAATGCATCTAGTATCATGGCCACTCTGTGACCGTCTTCCCCGGGAACAATCATTCAGAGAATCAAACCACTCCGACTGTCAAATTATCTTGGTCCTTCGGACATTCAAACCATAAAAGCAATTTAACCGAGAACTCCGGCCTTTCTAGATGTTTCCTCCCAGAATGATCTCACATAAGCTTCCCGCCCCAGAACAACGCAGGCTCTTTTTGCTCAGAGGTAACTGAATCCCAGCTCAGGTAATGACCATGGAACGTCCAAGAACTTTAAACCCTTAATTCGTAGCAGGTTAATGTATCACTTGGCTTCTTCCGGGCCCTTTCAAGCAAAGACCTATTATCATAAAATGAAAACCTTCATCAATCGCCTGATCGAGTAATTCCGAGCCGATCGCGTGAGTCCAAACTTAACCCAACGGGGCTAATGGGTGCGAATTGAATTGAAAACACCTTGACAGAGAAAGCAATTTCTTTTCTTCGCACTCCTCTGAAGCTGTGGGTGACCGCGGTAATCGAACCATCAACAGTGAGGGGCCATCTGTCCCAGGGGCCATTCATGAGAGTTCGTTTTTTTGTGTTGTGTTTTTTTTTTTAATTTTAAATTAACAACAACAACAAAAGAGAAAGCCACGCTGAACCACAGATGTTCAATCTTGATTAATCTAAGACAAGAAACTTACAACTGAGAATCAATGTTTTGACGTTTTTCAGATACCAATCATTAAAAGCCAACACAAAAGTTTTTTACAAGTACACGGGGGGCGGGGAGGTGGGTGGAGAGGGGGAGTGAATGGGTTGCTTATAGAAAGATGGTCTTTCAAAGGAAATACTTTTTGGTCACCTGAGCTGTTCATCATAGCCTAAAGCAGCGGTTCTCAACCTGTGGGTCGCGACCCCTTTGGCGGTCGAACGACCCTTTCACAGGGGTCGCCTAAGACCATCCTGCAGATCAGATATTTCCATGACGATTCATAACAGTAGCAACATTACAGTAATGAAGTAGCAACAAAAATAATTTTATGGTTGGGTCACAACATGAGGAACTGTATTTGAAGGGCCAGAAGGTTGAGAACCACTGTCCTAAAGCAATAGCTTTTCTTATGATTCCTTTTAGGAGAACAGACAAGAGGCTATGCTGTAAATGAGCTCTCAGAGCCCTGGCTGGTTTGGCTCAGTGGATAGAGTTCGGATTGTGGACTGAAGGGTCCCTGGTTCGATTCCCGGTCAAGGGCACGTGCCCGGGTTGCAGGCTCGATCCCCAGCAGGGCACGCGCAGGAGGCAGCCGATCCACGATTCTCTCTCATCACTGACGTTTTTCTCTCTCTCTCTCCCTCTCCCTTCCTCTCTGAAATCAACAAAAATACATTTTTCAAAAATTAGCTCTCGGATTAGCATTGGAGACTGTCAATTGTGTATATTCTTTCTGCAAGTATACGATGAAATACTAAGGACTGCGTTTATATTCACAGCACCCATTGCACGTAAGCTTTCAACGGAAAAAAACATTTACAAATGAAAATTGTGATTTTCATCGAGCATTCCCTTTTAATGCGTCAATTTGTTAAGCGTTGTCACTAATAAACACAAGACAGGGGTTGGCAAGAGTAAGTGTACAGTTGTTCATATGGCAAATAACACAAGAATCACTGCATAATCACACATGAATAAACTGTGTTTCTCGTCCTCATGACTGTAAATCAATTTATGCCCAGCCCTGTAGTTAGTATGAAACACTTGGAAACCAGTATTCTTGTTTTGGGGGGGAGGGTTTTTTGTTGTTGTTTTATAATGTCTTTTAAAAATATATATATTTTTATTGATTTCAGAGAGGAAGGAAAGAGAGAGAAAGATGGAAACATCCATGATGAGAGAGAATCATTGATTGGCTGCCTCCTGCATACCTCCTCCCGCACCCCCGGGGATGGAGCCTGCAACCCCGGCATGTGCCCTTGACCGGAATAGAAGCTGGGACCCTTCAGTCCGCAGGCCTACGCTCTAGCCACTGAGCCAAACTGGCCAGGGCACAAACTAGTATTTTTGAACACACGTCTTAGCTTCCTGTTTCTTCCGGAACGTGTCTAAACCTGGACACAGTGAACACAGCCAACGCGTAATCATGATCAAACTGTGTTGCCCTTATTGTCAACTGTTATCCTGCAGGTACTCCTCCCCAAAACCACACATTTCACAGCAAAGCGACCACTCTGAGACACGGCTAGCCCTCTGGAGCAACTAGAACAAAATAAAAAGAGAGAACACACCATTTTTCTAACGAAGGAAATTAACCTTACCATGGACTGTCATGATTAAACAGAAACGACCGCTTCCGTGGATATAAAAGAACAACAGTGACCAAGACCTTGAAAAAAATTCCCCGAATACAACAACTCCCTCTTCTAAACACCACATCCAAAAGAAACTCAACGATCAACAGATATTTAAATTCGCAGACCCCGGGGACTTCCCGTGTCCCCGTGGCTGAAGGCACCCCCGCCCTCACGCCATCGGTTCTGTCCCAACCAATGCTTTCTGCACACATTCGTCCGTTACTTCCAATCCTCGGCGAGGTTAAACTTTTACCAGAGTTCAATGTGAAAGGGCTGCTTCAGGTTAACGCACGTTCCGTTTAAACGCTAAAGGCACCGGTCCTCCGTGGCATGTCTGCCACCGGACCAAGACGAAACGGTTTCTGAAATGACTAATTTCTGGACGCTTCCCCGGCTGCAGAACACGCTCAGATGCACCAGACTGATAGCTCGGCGCTGTATTTCCAGATTCGACCGATAAGGGAGGAGGAAGTGAAAGAGGAAAGGGCCCTATCTGATCTTCACCGGTTCTGCCAACTCAGTGACAGAGCCTGTGGTTCATCGTCAACGTCCTTCTTTAAAAAAAAAAAAAAAAATTTTTAAAGAAAGCACCCCTTGCTTGTGATGATAAAAATCTACAGCCTTTCAGTGCTCTTGGCAAGAAAGCTTTTGAACACGTTTTTATTAAAATCCGAAATACGGGTGTTGGAGATACAGCACCGCCTTTTCTTCACTTGGTTTATTTTGAATATATTTCTATTGATGTCAGAGAGGAGGGGAGAGGGAGAGGGAGAGGTGGAAACATCCATGAGGACAGAGAATCATGGATGGGCTGCCTCCTGCATGCCCCCTACTGGGGATCGAGCCCGCAACCGGGGCCTGCACCCTGACGGGGAATCAGGCACCCCACCCCCCAGGTAAAGGGAAGGGGGAGGGGTGCGATCATTCACCCGAAAAACCCAGAAGTCACCTTGGACGCCAGCAGCAAAAATAAAGGACAGGTGACCCACAGGCATACCTACCGAGACAAGTTATAATCAAACTGTTAAAAAAAATACAGGGTGTCCCAAAAAAGAACGTATACACACTTTAACAGCGGGGAGCTCCATTTTGAAAATGCAATGCCTGCTAATACACAACGCCTTTATAATTATTCACAGCGTGTGTGTACATTTTTGGGGGACGCCCTACATAAAGTCCGCAGCATCCTTATCGAAGTAAGAACCAACAGATACTGAGTGTTGACATGAGATTTTTAAATATGTATTTTTTTTATTTCAGAGAGGAAGGGAGAGGGAGAGAGATATAGAAACACCGATGATGAGAGAGAATCATAGACCGGCTGCCTCCTGCACACCCCCCACTGGGGATCGAGCCTGCAACCCGGGCATGTGCCCTTGATCGGGAGTCGAACCGTGACCTCCTGGTTCCTAGGTCGATGCTCAACCACTGAGCCACACCGGCCGGGCTGAAATGGGGTTAGGCTTTCACACCTGCAGGCGAGGCAGCTCTACGAAGGAGGATGTGCTGACCGAAGCCACATATAAAGTCCAGCTGGACTCCA